TCCCTCCCTCCTCTTCCTCCCTCCCTCCTCCTCCTCCTCCTCCTCCTCCGCCGCCGCCGCCGCCGCCCGTCCTCCGCCGCGGCCAGCCGGGCAGCGCGGGCGGGCCGGGGGCTGCGCCGCCAGGGAGGAGGTTTGGGGGGGTCTGGGGGGGTCCGGGCACTTACTTGGGCTGGAAGTTGGCGGCGCGATGGGGAACGAGCGTTGGAAAACCGTGGGAGGAGCCTCGCAACTTGAGGATGGGCAGCAGGAGAAATCACAGGTACGGGGCGGGGGGCGGCGGGGGGCAGGGGGGGTCAGCCAGCCTGGGGGTCCCAGCGACCCCCCAGTGTCCCCAGCGAGCTTTTCTCCCGGTGCACCCCAGCGTGGCGAGCTGCCCTCCGCAGCCCCCCGTGTCGAGCCCCCCGGGCTGCCCCTCCTCACCCCCTCCCAATCAATGTGTTTATTAACCTGCAGCCAGGGCTCCCCCCGAGCCCCGGGACCCCCCGGCCGGGCAGCGAGCGATGCTCCGGAGCTGCCACACGCCCCTGCTGAACCGCTGCACGCTCTAAACTGCTCAAATAACCCTTTAAAAGGCATTTGCCATCTCAGCCCCGCGCTGCAGCCCGAGTCATCCCTCCCGGTTCGGGGGCTCCCGGCCGCCAGACCCGCTCAGGACCCCCAGGAGCCGCGYTGTTTTTTTGGGGGGCGGCCGGCGTTGCGGCGGGGTGCGGTGGAGCGGCGGCAGAGCTGCGGTGACACGCGGGGGATCCGGCACGTGCCGGAGCCCGTTTGCACATCCCGCTGCACGTGTGGCAGCCCCGGTAGCCCGGCGTGGCCGGCCGCTAGCCACCGAGCGCGCCCGAGCGGCCAGAGGGTCCGAGCAGCCCGGGATGGCTCGGCTTGGAAGGGACATTAAAGATTATCGCGTTCCAACCCCGCTGCCGTGGGCAGGGACACCTTCCGCTCGACCAGGCTGCTCAAATCCYCATCCAGCCTGGCTCTGGACACTTCCAGGGATAGGCATGGATGCACGCTGAGTGCTGGCAGGGTGGGAAGAAGGAGCGCGGAGTGTGGGCAAACGCGTCTGGGAAGAGCTGGAGGACAGCGAGTCTCCAGYGAGCCTGGGAGTGAAGGGACGGAGCCAAGAGCTGGCAGCGCTGCCCTTCCCCGGCACCCAGGAGCTGGGCGAGGATGGGGGGAGCAGCCGAGAGACACGCTCGATCCCGGGTCCCCCACTTCCCTGAGCCCTGACAGCCGCAGCGAGGCAAGGAAGGGATTTCTGCCCGACTTCTCCCTTCCCTGCTCCCTCCCGTCCCCGGTCAGCCCCTCCACCCTGAGCAGCTTCCGCGCCTCACTGGAGAGGGGCTGCACAGCCGGGACACCCCTGACCCCCGAGAAAGAAACCACCCTGCCCTCCCCTTGCTGGCAGAGCTGCCTCCCAGCGGCAGCCCCTGCGCGCAGGGATTCGGGCAGTGCCATCCGTTTGGAGCTGCCATTCCCGTGGCTTTGTGCCCCCCGTGGCCCTCGGGCGAGCCGGACACGATGGACGCAGCCCTAGCACGGGTGGACAGCGCAGCGCGGAGCTGCTGGTTCACGGTGGGCTGCGAAGGATGCGCAGAGTTCGCCGTGCAGCCGATGCTGCGATCCCAGCTCCCGTGAGCTCCGCTGGAATCCCATCTCAGCCCGCCTGCATGCTCACCCACGGAGCGGCTCCGGTGCGCTCGCCATCCTTCCCGTCTCCTCTCCCCGATCCGCAGAGTGTGGCGCGCCGTGGCAGCGGTGGCAGGCAGGCTCTGGGTGACAGAGGAGAGCAGGAAAAAGGGAGAGGATTCAGTTCAGCCGCTGCGAGCCCGCGGGTAGCCGGCGGAGCGCAGCGCTGGGCTCCGGGAGGGGACACAGCCCCGGCTCAGGGCGAGGGGACGGGGGCTGCAGCCCCGCGCCAGGCGGAGCAGCACGGAGGGATGGGCAGGGACGGTGGAGAGGGACGAAGCAGAACAAGGATGAAAAATGAGCCCCTCAGGCATCTCTGGGTTCGGGGTGGGTCTGACCCTTGCTGCCCTGGGGCGCCTTCAGCGCTGGGTGGACCCCGGCAGGAAGGTGCGGGWTCCTGGACTAAAGTTTGCACCGGCAGCTGAGCCTGGGCAGTGCACACCACGGTGTCCGCTCGCCTCGGAAGCARAGCAGCGGTTCTGGCTCGTACCCGGCTGAGGGCACAGCCCAGGGGCAGAGCAGCCACGCTGCCCGATCGCTGCCTGAGCTGCCATCCCTCAGCAGCGCTCGCCTGGTGAGCTGGGAGGAGCGGGGATTTGGGCAGGAGCAAAGGGCACCTCCTCATCTTAGGGCATCTCCCAGGGCAGAGCTCAGCCTCTCCTGGCACTGCTGTCCATCCGTGCCCTCCGGGGACCGGCCACCTCGGGGTGCCCTGGGGACAAGCGGGCTGGTGTCCCTCCCTTCCCACAGGCTGGAGCTGCTCATCCCAAGCCCCAGTCTGTCTGGCTGAGGAGTCTGAGGGATGCTGAGGGGCCTGGTGGGGTCTAGAGGAGCTCAGAAGAGTGGCTAGGTCACCAAGGACCCGGCCCCCATGGGTGACCAAGTGTAGATCTACTGCCCGTGCCAGTTTAGGGCACGGAGAGCCCGACTGAGCTTTGCACTGACACCACCATCCCTCAGATCCTGCCTGGRGCTCCCTCCCAGGCTCCAGAGCAGGTTTGCAAGTGAAGATCTGCTCATCCCAAGCACCACTCAGTCTCACAGCTTCTGCTCTCCTTGATTTGAAGACACTGGGACCTCCAGCCCAGTGGATGTCCCCAGGGGAACATCAATAACCAAGGCAGGGGGAGGTCCTACAACTGTCCAAAAGTCTTGGCAAGAATTCCAGGTGCTTGAGGCCAYGGAACAGACAGCAGGAACCCTTGGGATCATGAGAGTTGTGGTCATGGTGAGGCAGGAGCATGTGGCAGGGGTATCCACAGCGTCCCAGCAGCTGGGCATGCTGTTGCAGTGTTGCTGTGCTGGAGGGGCTTGGGGGGACCCCCAACCCAGTTTGGAGCGTTGCTGGTGCCACTGGCTGAGTTTCCCTCCTCTCCCCACTGCAGGTTGCCAGGTAACACAACCTGACAGCAAAATGCCGTGGGACTCATGAAGCTGCCGCCACTCAGGATCTCGCTGTTGCAGCAGAGGGGATCATTTTGGAAAGGGATTGGCCCCAAATTCCTGTTGCTGGCAGGAGGGCAGTGATTCTGGGGTTTGAAGGCTGGAAAACTGCTGGATACAGCTCCTGGTGTGCTGGCACATCCAGGAAGGGCTGCAAGATTTTGGTGTGTTGAGCCCAGCTGGGATTTGTGCGGCTGTGGGAAGTGGAGCATCATCCGTTCATGGCTCTGCTCTGGGAGCCCTGACTGCTCAGAGGTGTCCCTGAGCCACTGCAGCCCACCCATGTGCCCCTCGAGCTGGGGATGTCACCACGGTGGGAGCAGCAGCAGATGGGAGGGTACAAAGTCCTGGAGATGAGGGTGCTGTCATAGCCAGGACAGCCACAGGGACACGGTCCCTGCTCACCCTGGAGATCCCAAATCCCCTGGCACTGGCCTTTCGGGAGCAGCAACCCACCCCTCCTGTCACTTCGGTGCCTGCAGAGTGCTGAGGATCCCGGTCGAGCCCAGGTCCTGGGTGTCCACACAAGGATCTCAGCCACAGGCATCTCCCTCCTCTGAATTCCCCCATCCTGCTGCTCCTGGGTGTCCCTGGTGCCCCCAAACCAGGGCTCTGTGTCAGCACACACCAGGCAACTCCTCAACCCCCTGCTTGCCCAAAGTTCCCCTTATTGCTTTGACATCTCCTTTTAACGTGCACCAAGGGGCTGAGCTTGGGGCTGTCTTCTCACAGAGGTCCCTGCAAGTGGCTTCCGTCAGTCCAGGGCTGTTTGCACCTCCAGCCTCACTCCAAGGAGTTGGGGGAGAAACCCAGAGCATATCCTGGGGCTGKTGGGGCACCCATGGCCCCCCAACCAGCCCCGCTGCAGCTGGGGTCACCTTAATGCAAATGGTTGCGTGAGCGTGAATGAAATGAAGGGTGCTTGAAGGAAGGTGTCACTCCAGATAGATGTGCACGGGAGGGGACAGGGCCTGGGAAATCTTTGCAGATGCAGCAATTTTCCCCTCGTTTCTGGGGAAAGTAGTCTTTGTCTCTCTGAATCTGCAGTTTGCTGCCAGCCCTGCAATTCCTTGTGACAGCCGTGGCCAGGGTCAGGGGAAAATCACAGCCTCTGTCCTGCAGGTGTAATGAGGAGGGGAGGTGGAGGGGACCGGCAGCTGACGGGATCGGGTGGCAGCTCGCTCGCTCGGCACTTGGGGCTGTGCGGGGAGAAAAGGCTCTCGCTGGGCTCGGAGCAGCCCCCGGGGCTGGGCTGATGGGGATGTGCAGCTGCCGGAGGGGCTGGGGGGTCAGACACCTTTCCCACCACACCTCCCCCTTGCCGGGAGGCTCTGGGACTGATCCGAGGGTTTGGGAGCAGGAAACGCAGTGCCAGGAGGGTCGGAGGTTTGTGCCCTGCCATAGCTGGGACATGCCCCATGCCCAGCAGRTCCCTCAGGGCAGTGTGACCCCAGCACGGACCCGCAGCCTCCCCTCGCTGCTCTCCCTGCRGTCCCTGCCGTGAGAGGCACGGGGTGTTTTCCCTTTTTTCCCCGTATTTATGCTCGGGGCAGCGGGGAGCCCCTCACGCATCTCCCGGGGAGCCGGGGCMGCTCCAGCCGAGGATCGCGGCTGTAAATAAAACATTCCAGCGGGAGCCGGCGGTGCCGTGCCTTCGCTCTCGYTATTATTTCATAGCCCGCTCCCAGGCGGGTTGTGCTGCTCGGCTTTCTCGCTGCTCGCCCGTGGCCTCCACGTCCCTGGCACAGCCGGGGGGCTCCCTGGGGTCCCCGCGCCACCTCCTCTGTCACCACCCACCCCACGGCCGAGGTCATTGCCGGGTCCCCCAAAGCCCGAGCGGGTTTGAGCCTACCTGTGGGTGGAAGGGGAGCGGGGCGGGTGCATCGGGACGGGCCCCCACGGTGCGTGTGTCTGTGCCCACAGAGGATGAGCTGCGGGTACATCCTGTGCACCGTCCTGCTCTCGGTGGCCGTGCTCCTGGCSGTGACGGTCACCGGGGCCATCCTCTTCATGAACCACTACCACACGCCCGTCACCGAGTCGCCGCCGGTCATCAGCACCAACCCCGAGGAAGCCAACGCGCTGGTGACCATCGAGAAAGCCGACAGCTCCCGCATTAACATTTTCATCGACCCCAACTGCCCCAGCGCCGCCGGCACGCTGGGCCGCATGGAGGGGCTGCAGACCTCCCTGCTGCGCGCYGTCACCGACCACGACGCCGAGGCCAAGGCCACCAAGAGCCAGCAGAAGGCCCTGCTGGTCACGGTGGCCGACGAGGTGGCCAAGCTGCTGACCCACGCCGTGCAGCTGCGCGCCGACTGCGACGGCCTCAAGAAGGGGCACAGCGCCATGGGGCAGGAGCTGAGCGCYCTGCAGGGAGAGCAGGGCAGGCTCATCCAGGTGAGCCGGGCTGGAGGCGCCACATGGGGCTCCTTGGGGACAAACACACTGTCCCAGTGTCACATGGTTGCCCCTGCCCGCAGCATCCAAGGGAGAGCTCCAAGAGAAGGAGCTGAGGTTGAAGGCAGTGTTTGGGAACTGCAGGTGGGGAAGTCTGTCCCTACCAAACCGCCCCAGTGCCCGTGCTGGGTGTGCAGTCTGCCGGCTCCAGGTCCAGTTTTGGGGCTCCAAGCAGAGCCAAGCACAGCACAGAACCTTCTCAAGGGCAGTTCATGCAGTCAGCCCCCACTATTCACAGCCCCCGAAATTTCCCAGCCGATGGGCTGTGATGAGATGCTTACCTGAGCGTGCCAGGGGTCTGCCAGGTGCTGTAGCAAGATTCAGGGMATGGCTGGATGCTCCATGCCTTACCCTCCTGGCGCTCAGCTCTCTCTGTCCAGAGCTTCTCCTTTTTCTCTGCTTCACTTCTCTCCCCATCCTGCTGCTCTGCCACGGCCACCCCGTGTCACTCTCCCAGCCTGGGTCACCTCAGGGGACGATGCAGAGCTGGCGGCTGCCTCAGGACACGGCTATTCCTGCCGCCTCCGTCATCCTGTCCTTTGCCCAGAGATGCTCTTTATCCCATGGGTGGCAGCACCAGTGCACCCAGGTTTKGGGATTTCTCCTCCCTGGTGGCAGCAGAGGTGTTATATGGGATCTGCTGTGCATTTATGGCCCCCCAGCCCATCCCCTGGCACTGCTGAGCTGTGGGAGCAGGCAGGGTGATCAGGAGGCCGGGATGTGGAAGGGATTTCACAATTAACCCCAATTCTGTGTCCCCCCGTGTGTCCCCTGCCCACAGCTGCTCTCGGAGAGCCAGACCAACATGGCTCGGCTGGTGAGCTCCGTCAGTGACGTCCTGGACACGCTGCAGAAGGACCGAGGCGGGGCCCGGCCGCGGCTCAAGGCTGACCTGCAGCGAGCACCGGCCCGGGGAGCGCGGCCCCGGGGCTGCTCCAACGGTGAGCCTGCATCCCTGTCCATCCCTGCGGAGARGGATGSATKGGGGGCTGCTCRTGGGAGAGGGAAAAACACTAAGGGYGGRGCAAACCATCCTGGAGAAGGGATTTAACACAATGCAGGGGTTGGTGGAGGAGGTGGAGGAGGGAGATGGGAAAGCGTGTCCTGGAAGGGGGGAAAGGACCCAGCTGTCCACAAACCAGCACAAAAGCCACCGGACACCCCTGCAGACCCATCCGGTCCCCATGTAGGTGTAGAAAGGGCACAGGCAGAGCAGGGAGCTCAGTGGGTGTGGAGGGTGACCCTGCATGTCTCGAAGAAGCAGCCGCGTTCCTCAGCCTTTGGTTGAGATGCGGCTGAGTAAGAATGTCCTGGAGCTGGAGACACGTGCCCAYGCTCTGCCCWCAGCCYTCTCCRGCCATCAGCTCTCCCTYGTCCCCATGTGGGTCCCAGCTTGTCCCTGCCATCACACGGGGCTGTGGGGTCAGTCCCTACCGGCTGCTGGGGGTCCCTGTGGTGGCCACATCCCCCTGGGCACCGCTCGCCCTGAGCATCGGAGGGGAAGGGAGGGAAAGAGCAGAGCAGCACCAAGCTGCCAAGCAGAGCTGGGAGCAAGGCTGGGAGCCTGGCAGAAATGGCAAGACATTAAATTAGATCATTAATTAACCAGCTTTCCCCTGGTCCCACCCCATGCCAATGAATGCCACGCTGCAGGCTCCCGGCCCCGAGACTGCTTTGACATCTACGCGAGCGGACAGCAAGAGGATGGGATTTACTCCATCTTCCCCACGCACTACCCCGACGGCTTCCAGGTCTACTGTGACATGAGCACGGAYGGGGGCGGCTGGACGGTGAGCTGCCACCACGCTGGGGACACCGGGGGATGCCACCTCTGGCCATGGGCTGGGGGTGGGAGATGTCATTTGGACACTTGGATGTGTCATCGGGATGGGCAGTAAATGTCAAGGGGTCCTGGCTGTGCGGCCAGAGAGTCCCAGTGGTGGCACCCAGAGCCCTGAGCTCCTGTCCTGGGCTGGGGAGCGTGGCTGGAGCTGGAGGAGTTCCAGGCTGGGAGCTGATGCCACCATTGGAGTTTGTCCTTCTCGAAAGGAGCACGGTGTGGCTGTGCCATGGGTGCATGGCTTTGCTCTGCCCTGTCCTCGTGGACCCAGTGAGCCGGTGCTGGAGCTCAGGGCACACCCCAAACCCGGCACGTTTGGCCTCAGCTAAGGCCGGGCTGCCCGGGGCTGCCGCGCTGATTCACTCCCTGTCTGGTTCGCTCTGCACGGCGGCAGCGATGGCCCCGTGATCACAGCAATGGGGACAGAGAGCAGGGCCATGGGGGGACACGGCACTGGCAGCCCCGAGCCTGGAACCCCCAGTGCCCCACGGAGCACCGGGAGCCCCTCCCTACCCCAGGGGGTGCCAGTAGGACAGAGAGGGGGTCCCAGCAGGGTGGGCAGGCAGCCTCTGCCCTGAGGACACTCTGGGTGAGCCGAGCTGGCCAGCACCCCTCCAGCTGGGCGCTCTAGGAAACAAATCCCCAAGATCTGATTCCCCTAAGCAGCTTTGAGCAGGGCCAGGAGGGAGCTTAGCCCCCCTGCCCTCAGGAACTGCTGAGCCTTCGACCTCCGAGAGCCCACYCCGGGCAGGGGGAGCCTGGGTTGGTACCAGCAGCTCCAGCGGGGAAACTGAGGCACAGCACAGCCCGGGCATCTCAGCTCTTGGGGGCTCTCAGAGGAAAAAAGGGGGAATCTCTCGGGCTCCTCAGGGTACGRAGGGTCCCTGCAAACCCCGTGCACAGCCTGCACAGCCTCCACCAGCCCCAGCCATGCCTGAAGAGCAGCCCAAGGTGATTAGCGAGACACTCAGAGGCTTATTTAAAGCTGYTGCAGGCGGGGGGCTGGGGCTGGGCTGGGGAGGGGGCGCAGCGAGTGATTCCAAGCCCGGCAGCACCGGGGGTCCGGCAGTGGAGTGGCACAGACACCTCGGCTGTGCCCTGCCTCGATGGGCACAGGAATCAAACCAGGAGCTGGATCCAGRCACAGCCAGGGCAGGGTCCAGAGGGGACAGCCCAGGCTCCCGTTCCTTGGGGCTTCCCAAACCCATCTCCAGTCCCTTGGGAACAGGGATTGTCTCTGCCATCCCCCGGGGGCTGGGGCTGTGGGGCACGGGCTGATCCCGGCTCCAGGTGAGCTTTGGCACGGCTGGGTGCCGTGGTGCAGAGCCTGGGAAATTTCTCTTCCCTTTTTCCCTCCTCCTCCTCCTCCTCCTCCTCCTCCTCTCTGGAGCGATTACTCCTGACATTTGGGCTTATTTGCATGTGGGTGGGTGGGTGGAAGCGATGGCAGCAGCCGAATCAATTTTGACTCGGGAGCTTGGGAGCTGCTGAGCTCAGCTTTAGCCTGSCTGGACAGCTCGGAGGCCGCGGCSAGAGGGGCAGCAGGAAGAGCTGCAGCTCCTCACCATCCCCATGGCACGATCTGCAGGGTCCTGGCTGCTCCCTGTCCCTGTCCTCGGGAAGGCTGAGCCAGGCACCGCTGCTCTGTCCCCCTCAGTCCTCCCAGGAGCAGCAGGACCACGTTTGCAGCTGTGGGGACGAGGATCTGGGTCAGTGCTGAGCACCCACATCCCGTGCCCAGCTCTGGCTGTGACTGCAGTGACCACTGCCCAGCCCAGCTACCCCCTTGTCACTCACCTCTGGCACTTCACTGAAGTAATAACGGGATGATGGAGGTCCAGGGAGGCTCAGCATGTTGGGAGGCCTCAAAAAGTTGCCTTTTCATGGGATGCAGTCTTCCAAATCTTTGCAAATGCCCCACACTCCTGCCAGTGCCTCCCCTGCTGCTCCTCTGGGGCAGAGTCCCTGGATCAGGTTCATGAGCAGYGGTGCTCTTTGTGCCTCAGCATCATTTTCCAYGTMCAGTGAGTGCTGGGAAATGGTGGGRAAGCCCAAGGRTGCAGAAGGAAAGGCTGTGCCAGCAGGRTGAGGGCTGTGGGAGCGTTAAGGGACAGCTTCCAGCTCCATGGGCACCCTGGAGSGGGGCTGAGCACACACCGGTGCACTGACACTGGGCTGGGGTAAACTGAGGCAAGGGGTGAGAGGAGCCTGGGGAAGAACACGCTGTGATTTATGTGTCACCACAAACAGGGACGAGAAAATTCTGCTGTGTGGGGCCAGGAGCAGTTGTGGGGTGGGCAGTGCTGCTGGCTCTGGTGTTCCCAGGCTGTCCCACGGCACTGGCTCTGCAATGCTCCGAGTTTTCTCCCTGGCTGAGCYCAAAGAGGGTCTCCCTGCTGTGACAGGGCTCAGAGGACATCCTGGGGACAGGGCTGTGGGGACAKGGCTGTGGGGTCTGTGCCATGGCTGCCTGAGCACGGCGGTGGTGGAGCAGTGATGGCTGAGCTTGTCCCCAGACCGGGGCTGTGGTGGGATTTCCATCCCAWTGGGAGTTTGGTGGAGCTGAGGACAGGAAGATGCCAACGCCGTGGCTGGCACGGGTTGRAGCTCCTGCTTTTCTCCGCTTTTAACCCATTTTTTCTGGGTTGGTGCCTTCACAGGAGGCTGTCCCCATCCCACAAACACAGCSGGGGGAGGCAGAGGGTGAGGGAGATAAATATTTCAGCCTTGCCTTTAAAGAAGGGACGGAAATCCTTTTTGCTTAAGAGGGRGTGATGCATATTTGATGAGGAGGAAAAGAGCAGCGAGGCGGGGCTGGGAGCACCATGAGCCCGCTGGTCACTGCTGCACCGGCATTCCCGGCACCCCAGAAGGGAGGAGGCTCCCACAGCCCGACCTGCACRTGGTGGGTGCACAAATGAAGCGTGAGAGAGGATGAGGATGGAGCAGSAGGCTCGGCAGGACGCAGGACCTGCAGCGCTCACCAGGCTTTGAGCAACCAGCCTTGTGCCAAGCGAGCCGGGCGGGCAGCGGGGGCACCGAGGGCTGCTCCSGGGGGATTCCTGAGCCGTGCCCAGGCTCAGCCAAGGCTGCCGTGTCCCCCGTGCTTCCCTGGGCACCGCAAAGGCAATTGGCCTATTTACAACCGCGGGGCAAAGCCGATTAAGAGCGGCACYGGTGCCGCCTCCACCGCCTTCCACCGCGGCAGCGCCGGAGCCGGCGTTGGCCGGGGAAAATCAGCTTCAGGCCCCTGTCCAGCCACACCCTCCCCCCTTCCCAGCAAGCCTGAAGAAAGCCCCTTTAAACGGGCTTAACCACAGCTTCTCAAGTGCTCAACGCGGGGATAAAAATTAAGGCTCTAATTCTAGAAGGTAAGTACAGCAGGATCAGAGCCGCGCCGTGCCGAGGAGTGTGCCGGAGCCTCAGCTGGCACACGCAGCCCCAAAAACGCCCGGCTGGAGAAGGGAACCGGTGACAGGGTCACAAAATGGGTCTGTTCCTCATGCCAGGATGAATCCCTGCTCCCCATTCCAGGATGAAACCCTGCTCCCTGTGCAAAGATGAATCCCTGCATGTGCAGGAGGGCAGGAGCAGCCAGGGGAGCAAAGCACGGTGGTTTCAGAGTTCATCTGCATTCCCCAATCCTGGGATCCTAGAAGTTTCGTCTTGGCAGCACAGCCCAGCTCCGAAAATGGGGTTCTGTGGCCCTTGGGCTGCCAAAACATGGGATGGCTCTGCCTAAATCACCCCAGCTGTCCCCACCACGGTCACGGGAGTGTGGAGCTTGCTTGGAGCGAGGCTGGCTCAGCCAACTTTAATGCAATTAATCCAGGGACTGGAGGCTTAATTAAGTTCAAATGGTCGGGCATGAAGCAGCATTTTCTGGATCGCTGTCAATAGATCAAATCCAAAACTATGGATAAAAGGGGATGAAACACGCAGGGCAGAACACGCCGATGAGCAGATGGGGGAGGAAAAGGGAAAGGCTCCGAGCAGAAAAGCTGCACTGAGCCCTGGGATCTGGCGGGGATCCGGGGGCTCTGCAGGGGTCGGGGCGGTCTGTGCCCCTCAGTTCATTTCTCTGGGACACTAATGAGGCTGTCRCAGGGATGGTGCCTCAGGATGGGGTRCCTGCCCSGGAGAGCAAGGAGATCCAGGAGGKGRAGAKCRGCTGCTSGGTTTTGCACAGCTCAGARCACCCACTGCGGGCAGGAGGGYTCACACTGACCTGACTGCAGGACAGAGCTCGGGTCACACCGTCCGTGCCTCTGCTCCCACGGCAGTAGAAGCCTTGCACTGTTGGGAGGCAGGAACAGGGTGTCCACCCCTCCAGGAGCACCTGACACCTTTCCCAGGAGATGCAGGATTCCCGAATTCTGCTCCAATTTCCACATGGAGGATCCTGTGCAGGGTTTTATCTGAACCGACTCACCCGCCCTGGGAGCCCCAGGCGACGATCSGCATTTCCCCGGGGACCTCTGTCTGCCATCCCTGTGTAATCCCTGAGCCGACCGGGCTCAGTTTGTGCCTGTGCCTAATTAGGCAGGGGCACGGAGGGGCGGGCAGTACCCTGGAGAGCGGAGGGGCTGCCTGGGTCACACACAACTGATGCCCTGCGTGTGTCCCCAGGTATTTCAGCGACGGGAGGACGGCTCCGTCAACTTTTTCCGCGGCTGGGAAGCGTACCGGGACGGCTTTGGGAAGCTGACAGGAGAGCACTGGTTAGGTGTGTGGGGCTGGCAGGGCTCGCTCTTGGGTGGGTGGTCAAGCCTGGGGTCCCTTGGGGCGGTTTGGGGTTTTCTCTGCGATGGAGGGGACACGAGACCCTTTTGGACAACACCCGTGTCCTGGGAGGGATGGGCTGGGCAGGCAGGGAGAGTGTGGGATGGCCGCACAGGGAGGGGAAGTGACGGGGAAGTGACCCCAACCCCACAGGGTCCCCACACTGACCCCTTTCCCCCTGCCAGGGCTGAAGAGGATCCATCTGCTGACGGTGCAGGGCAGCTACGAGCTCCGCATCGACCTGGAGGACTTTGACAACGGCACCGCCTTCGCCCACTACGGCAGCTTCGGCGTGGGGCTCTTCTCCGTGGACCCCGAGGAGGACGGGTACCCCATCACCATCGCCGACTACTCAGGGACAGCAGGTGGGGCAGCAGGCTGGGGCAGGGGGAACCTGGCTGGGGTGTTCCCATGTCCTCTGCATCCCTGCAGGAGCGGGGCCGCAGTTGGGTGCTGCTGGAGGAGCCCCCATTGCAGGGGGAACCCAGGGGAGCCCCACGGGGCAGGGACTCCTCAGGACTCAGGGCCCATCAGGACTCCTCTCCCCTGGCACAGGTGACTCCTTCCTGAAGCACAACGGGATGAAGTTCACCACCAAGGACCTGGACAACGACCACTCGGAGAACAACTGCGCTGCCTTCTACCACGGCGCCTGGTGGTACCGCAACTGCCACACGTCCAACCTCAACGGGCAGTACCTCAAGGGCCACCACAGCTCCTACGCCGACGGCATCGAGTGGTCCTCCTGGACCGGCTGGCAGTACTCGCTCAAGTTCACCGAGATGAAGATCCGGCCCGTCCGGGAGGAGAATTAGCTGATGGCATGAACCCCTCCCCACCGTCCCCTGCCCTCCCCACCACCCTGCAGACCCATCCCCCTCCCTGTCACCCTYCCCGTCCTTTCTGAGGGCTTGCCCATCTCTGAGGGGCCCCTGAGGAGCACCTGCCACCGGTGAGGGTGACTYCAGCTCCTGGGCACCCACGGACATTGCCAGACCTTTGCTGCCCACTGCCATGGCTCCCCTGCGGCCAGAGCGGGTGTCCTGGCCAGAGTGACCCAAGGCTGGGGCACAGAGGGCAGCAGGGTGCAGGGATTTGGGCAGAGGTGCCCAGCAGGGTCCAGCAAGGAAGAGAAAGGGCTGCCTGGAGGGGAGGAGGGAGGGCAGGAGGGATGCAGCACCTCTGGTCACCTCTGCTCCGGGCACTGACACCTGGCTGTGCTCTTGCCAAGCTGGCAACGGACTGGGGGCACTTGCCATGGGGAACCCCGGGCCCCCCAAACCCCCAGGACTGCGATGAGGCCGCTGCTCCAGCTCTCCCCATGGTGCTACTGGTGATGGGGAGGGCTCAGCCTGACCGTGCCAGCGATTCCTGCTCCGGACTGCACAAAGCTCCCCTCCGCCCCACGCAGCTGGGGAGGGACAACTACCAGCTCCTTAGTCCCTGTTGTCCCTGTCCTGAGTCCTGGAGCCTCCCAGCAGGTCAGGACGCCCCAAAGTGAGCCARCACAGTGCTGCAAGGACGCACACCCAGAGCTGAGCACGGCATGAATCTGTCTCGGCAGCGCTGGGGAAACGGGAAGCACRGCGAGGAAGAGGAGGAGGMGAGGAAGGTTCTCTTCCCAACACAGCTCTGCCGGCATTTCACAGCTCCTCCCTCCCAACCGGACCCACTCGGATTCACGTCGGACTTTGACCATCCAAAAGCCGTGACCCTTCCCCCAAACAGCACAGCCACATCTCCCCACGAGCCCCCTCCGCTCGCTGCCGGCCTGGGCACCCGCCTTCATTTCCACCTCGGCTGAGCTGCAGCACTGGCTCGGCACCTGCAGATCTCCAAAGCCTTTCATTTCCTCAAATCCCGTTAAGGTTTTGCAAAAAAAAGAAGCCCCGAGTGGGGCTTAGCATCTGCAGGGCCCTGATAACCGGGCGGCAGCACCAGCCGGCCCGAGCGGGAGCACCACGGGGTGCGGGACTGATGGCTCCCTGCAACGACTCAAATGGGGGATTTTGTCCAAAAAAATGAGAACCAAATGCGAGCAGACTCTGAAGAGGGAGGGGAGGGGACAGACGGAGCTCTGCCACCCTTTACATCATTGTCTGTCTGTGATACAGCAGAGCCCTGACCCCAAGAAACACCGTGGGACAGATGGATGGACTGAGGAGGGGAGGAAAACTCCCACTGTCCCCATTTCCAGGGGGCTTAAAGCATGGGCAGATCAAAGGCTCAGCTTCCCAGCTGTGCCAGGTTTGTACTTCCCTCTGTGTTTCCATTTTTAAGCCTTCCCCACCCTGAATCTCGTGCTGGACAAGCTCTCTCACCTACTGGGTGGGTCCCTGTCCGTCTGTCCCAACAGGGAACAGGGACAAATGATGCAATGGGATCACCACAGCTTTTTACTCTGCCAGAGAGATTCTTCAGAGCSCTCAGGTGAGGCTGAGCTCTGAGTGAAGGCACCAGCTCTACCACTCCATCCATGCCCAGAGCAGCTGCCCAGGCCGGAACAATGGGATTTGGGGGAACTCAGCAGTGGCATTTCTCAGCACAACAGCAGGWGCCCTGACAGCTTCCAAGGAGCTTCCTGTGCTCCCCTGGACCTCTCTGGAAAGGGTCCTGCCTGCACCCATCTTTACTTTTCGATCATTTATTGGTGGATCAGCTGTAGCTGGGTTTTCTGATGCTTTGGGCAGGAATGCACACGGAGCCCTGTGCCAGGTGGGAAGGCTCATCCCCTCCCCAGCCCCCTGCACCGGTGTTCTGCCATGCTGGGGAGGGAGCGCTGTACGTTGGTTTGTGGGTAGCACACCCCTGTGTCYCCCGGGACCCCCAAGGTTTTGTTTTGCCTTGCACGAGAGGTATTTAATCCATGCCAGGACGCAGGATTTCCCAGGATTATTCCCGAGAGCTCACACATCTCTCCACGGCCCCGGATTAGGTTAAAGCCRTCCGTGGTGACCCCTCCCTGGACAGAGGCGGGCAGGGGTGACCGGGGCTCTGGGGTATGGCTGTGACCCTTTCTGGAGGAGCCCAGGGCCAGGCYGTGGTGTGTAGCAGTGCCGTGAAGTCTGGTCGTGTGTGAGTGTGTCCAACGCTGTTCATGTGGACTTTCTGAACTCCTTAATAAAAGGATCTCATCGTTACCCCTGTGTGACAGCCCTGCCCGTGTCACAGCGTGGGGACATGGCCGTGGTGACAGGAAAGGTGACACCGAGCTCCTGGCAGTGCTGGGGCGATGGCTCCTGCCCCTGCCGGGCTCCTGGCATGGCAGCTCTGGAAACGCTGAAACCACCCTGCAAAACAAGAGCTGGGGACACTCTGGGGGCAGAGGAGGCTTCACAGGGCTCCAGCCCGAAGGCAGGGCCTGAGGGACCTCGGGGTGGCCCTGGGGCTGGGGGTGGGAGCATGGCAGGTCTTGGTGCCAAGGGGAGGTATTCCCTGCTCTGATGGACAGAGCACCAAGTAATGACCCCAATCCTTTCCTGCTGCCCACCCCATATCCCACCCCAGTGCCCATCCCAGCAGAGTGCACTGGGCACCGTGTTGCAGCACTGGTGGCTGCATGTGTTGACCATGGAGGGTGGGAGCAGTTCAGCAGATCCATTTGGGGCCGGGCTCTGGTCAGGTTTGGGGTTGTGGGGTCTCCARTGGTGTTTGGGCACCCACCACACTCAATGGGTACATCCAGAACCCCAAAAGCCATGCAAGGAGGCACCAGCCAGATGAGGGGGACACACTGTGCCCCCAGAYGGGGCACTCCCTGCCAGCAGCATCCCTGACAACTGCCAGGGACACCAGGCCAGCCCCGGCTGCTCCTCCAAATGAGGCTGCAAATTAAGGCAGTGCGTTAATGAGCGGTGTTGCYGCGCTCCCATTGTGCCAGCTCCACCAACCCCTGTCCCCCCATCCCCTCCTCAGCCCCCTCCCCGAGGATCCCACCCTCTTCTCTCTGTGGCCACACGTCCGAGGGGTGGCAYGGCAATGAGCGCTGGTGGCTATTTAACGGCCCAGGGCGGGCTGACCGCTCATCTGGACACAGAGTGGACAGAGAGTGGCCACGGCTGGCAGCTGAGAGGTGCAGAGGTGAGTGACTGGTGTCTGTCTGTCTGTCTGTCTGTGTGTCTGTCCCTGCTTTACACCCCTCGATGGACAGCACAGCCAGGGAGGAGGCAAAGGCTGGTGGGGGCAGCTGGGGACCCACCAGCACCCCCAGAGCCCAGGACGGGACAGCAATTTGGCTCCAGGATGGTAACGGGGCACAAAAAGGGAGAGAGCAGAACAGGGGCAAGGTGTGAAAAAGGGAGGGAGCACCCCAAAGTGAAACCTGTGGGCTAAGGGGTGTTKGGAAGGGCAGGCAGGGGCTTGGGTGTGCCTGGCTCTGGCACAGGAATGAGGAGCACCCGCAGCAGCCCCTTGGGCAGGCGTGGGGCAGACACCCCCAGCACCGGCATAGATTTTAAGGCAATATCTCTAGATGATAATAATAATAATAATAATAATAATAATAATAATAATAATAATAATAATAATAATAATACACATTTCCTCTTTCTGAGCCTTTTTTGGAGCAGAAAGGGAGGCAGAGCAGCCCTGCCCCTGCTGAAGGTTACCCACTGCCTGTGGCACTGCTTGAGGCTCAGGGTTTCAGGGTTTCACTCCCTCCTGCTTTGCTCAGACCTCTCTGCCAGGGCACCCCCGAGCCCCATAAAGCAGAGCGGTGTCGAGCACCTTCCTCTCACCGGTGTCACCCAGGCACAGCGGGCAGGACCCGCTTTTGGGGACGATCAGGGTGATGCCCCGAGCGTTCCCGCGGTGCCTCCGAGAGGAGCGGGCGGCTCCGGAGCCCTTCGCCTTGCCCGGCTACCAGCCCACTCAGCTGGGGCAGTAAAAAGATTTTTKAAAACCTTAAATCAGGCYGCAAGAGGTGCATTGTGCTTGGGGCAGCAGCAGGGCTGGAATTTGCGAGCATGGACCTGCTGCCGATGAAGGGCAGAGGGTCTGAAGGAGCAGGGGGAGCTCCGACCCCCAGCACCCCGCCGGTGCTGCAGGAGGAGCAGGGGGTGCCTGGGGGTTTCCAGGGCTGGTTTGAGGGTGTCGAAGCAGGGATGGGGAAATGCCGAGGGCAGCCCGTGCTGCTGTCCCATCCATCGGTGCTTTGCTGACATCCTTCCCCTTCCTGTGCTTCCCCCAGATGAGAGCACCCTACYCGCTGTCCTGCCTCTTCCTCCTGAGCCTGGGAGCCTGCTTCCCTCCCGGCGAGCGCTGGGAGCCGGGACACCCAGGCGAGGGGGCTCTGCTCGGTGCCGGCTGGCAAACGGGGGCGGAGGGCCGCGGTCCCGGCTGGAGGACAGGGGCAAAGCGGAGGCGAAGCGAGGAGCTGGAYGCGCTGCTGAGCATCGCCCGGGAGCTGCGGGGATACGGCACGGCCGGGGCAGAACAGCGGCCGGGCAGGAGGGGCGGCCCCGAGCCGCTGCCCATAGGAGGGGAGAAGCGCAGCGGAACCCTGGGCAACCTGGCCGAGGAGCTCAACGGCTACAACAGGAAAAAAGGGGGCTTCACCTTCCGCTTCGGGAGATGAGAGCTTGGACTTGATCCCCCAACTCCTGCAGGTCATCCCGTCCCGTCTTTCCCTTCTGTCTCACCTGGGTTTGCTCGAACAAAAGGGTTTGGGTTGTTTGTTTTTTTTTTTGCTGCTGGGGTTGCCTTGGGGAGGGGCAACGCTGCGTTTGCTCCACGCCCAGCTCTGCTCTGCATCTCCCATCCCCGTTCCCAACCAGAGCAATGGAAGAAGAGGAGGGTGCCTTAAAGAGGGTGAAATCCCTTTCCTGGTCACACAGAGCTGTTGTTGGGCACAGGGAAAGGGCCCAAGGTGGGTCTCCGGTGGCACAGGGGGATGGGATGGGATGGGATGGGATGGGATGGGATGGGATGGGATGGGATGGGATGGGGATGGGATGGGGATGGGATGGGCAGAGCAGGGGTGGCACAACGGGACAGGCAGTGCCAGCAGGACCAGGCAGCGAGGCTGGAGGGTTACAGCAGGACAGTCCTGGTGGTGCCAGTCCCCGGGGACTGCCTGTAGTGCAGGGCCAGCTGCCAGGGAGGAGAGGGTCCCTCAGAGCTCTCACCGAGTTGCTGCTCTCCTGCCTATTAAGGAAAAGTCCCTCCGGCAGCAAATTCTGCTTAGTGTCAAGATGCCTCTTACACGAGGCAGCTCCTGCCTGCAAAACCAGGGCAGAGCAGCRGGGTTCGAGAAAATCTTGTCCTTAGCAACCCCTGGAGTGAGCACGGAAAGCTGCCCTGGCATCACCAGCCCTGCCCCGACCCCCAGTGCCCTGTTCATGCCCCGACCCCGAGTCCTCACCACGGTGGGACAGTGGTGACCGACCTTCAACGTCCTTGTCACTCAGCCCAGCTCCCGCCTGACAGCCTGGCCCTTCCCAGTGCCTTCCTGGCCTCATCACCCCCATTCTCAKCTGCAGCTACTGCARAACTCGGGTGCAGAAGGACTGAAAMAAGGAYTTCTGCACCCACTGAGGGGTGCTCGGTTTGTCTTCACAGTGGTGCAGCTCTGGGAATGGTCAAGCCCACAAGTCAGCACAGCCACTGCCCCACTGCCCATCCACTGCCTGCCCATCCTTTGGGCAGGTTTAGCTCTGCCRATGCCACTGTTTTCTCTGTGCCTGCCAGAGGTACCAGCAATCAGAGCTCTAACTACCTGCTGCAGGCACTAACGGCAGCTTACATACTGAGCCACTGCTGATATTTCATTGCAGGCACAAAAATGAGCTGGGAGATGATTTGCAAGCGCTAAATTGCACCCTCAAAAATCAGAGACCGTGGCAAGACTTGGTTGGGGGAGTAAAAAAGATTAAAAAAACCCTTAAATCAGGCTGCAAGAGGTGCATTGTAATATCCATCAAGCAGACAGACCACTTAATGCAGTGCTGCGTGAGTTGTTCTGGCAGCAGGAGAAGTGAGTGAGGCTGAATGGAGGAGCTGGAACACGGGGGAAAACAGTGGTGGGGCAGCAGGTCCAGGAGGAGCGATGGAGAACAGGACAGGGTGGGATGAGGAACGGGAGGGACAGCAAGGACACGGACAGTGCCAGGATTTGTCCCTCACACCAGGACAGCCCCGGCTGTGAAGGTGAGGAAGGGCATTTCCTGCATCCCTGCTGCCCTGAGCATCTCACACCGGGGAGCACAGCAGCGACCCACGGCACTCACCCCTGGGGTGAGCCCCACCCCAGGCACCCCCAAACCCAAATCCACCCCCTCCCAACTCCCACCCCACCAAAGACCCCGCTCGGATCGGGACGCGCTCGCATCGCACGGYGGAGACGGAGCTTTATCGATGTTTCCATGGCGACGACTTCCCCCCACCCCGCCTTTCTTTTGAGTGTTCAAACCATCAATAAAAACGCACTGATCAATTTTACCCTGCGCTGGAGTCGGGGGGGAGGGATGGGAGGGAGGAAGGGGAAGAGTTTTGGAGTAACTCGGGGTGAGTGAGGGGCGGTCAATCCCCGGCTTTGCTGTGATGGATCATTGCAGGGGAAAGTGGCACCGGCTGCTGCGGGAAGGCAAAAGGAAACCCGCTGGGCATTGCTGGGGYTGCCTGGGCTCCTGCACTCAAATCTGCGAGAGGAACGGGCTCAGAAGAGCCTCATAAAAGCACACACATAACGAGGCTGTGATTGATGTGCAATAACCTCTGCAGATGTCACTGGGAAGCGGAGCATTTACCTGGCAGGTGGGACAGAGCTGGGCTCAGCCCCCATGGCACAGGGCTCCGTGATGCCATCACCCTCCTCACCCTCTGTCAGGAGAGGGGCCATGGCACCCCTGGGCTCCTCTGAGCTCACCTCAGGGTGTCTGGTGTGCTGGAAGAGGCAGCGTTCTGCTCCTGATTGCTGCCCCTTGGGGATTAATGCTGAGGAGGGGAGGTAAAAGTGAATGGAAAAGAACTGCCCGGAGCCTGGGAGTGTGTGGCTGGGAGGAAGGAGGGGGAACATGCCAAGAACAACCCCTGAGGGGCTGGAGAGCCCTCCCTGCAGATGGGACATGATGTCTCCCCCCCAGCTCCCACAGGAAGCTACAGCCCTCCCC